AGAACTTCGAGTACGGGCAACATATATTTTTGTTTTTGTTGAACGTCCACATTTAGTACTCCAACTTTATTTAACAGTTAACCGAACTTCGAGTTACAAAGCAATTTTTGTTCCAATAACAGCTAAACAAAATTTGATTTCGCGTGACCATTAATCGACACTCACTGTTCGCCCGATTGAGTTGTATTTGTATCACCTCTGTACTGCGAAAGGTAGTCAGTCACCTCGGCAACGTACTTGCATGTAACACAATTAGCTCAGTGTTTTTGAAATATGGCGTGTTCACTTAGTGTAGTGCAGTGCAGTGCAGTGCAGTGCAGTGCAGTGTAGTGCAGTGTAGTGCAGTGTAGTGTAGTGTAGTGTAGTGTAGTGTAGTGTAGTGTAGTGTAGTGTAGTGTAGTGTAGTGTAGTGTAGTGTAGTGTAGTGTAGCGTATTTTGCTCGTGTTATGTCCTATTCCAGAGCCATATATTGACGTAAAAGTTGTTTTAGCAACTATATGTATAGCGCATTAAAGTTGGAGAATTGGGGAGGGGAGTGAGTGATTACGTGCTTTGGTCACAATATTGGATTTCTTCCGAACATGAAGTAGTTTTTCACTGATGTCTCAGTTATAACATTTCATCGACATTGCCATTTTGCATCTCTCAACTCATTCAGACAGTAAAACAATTATTAAATAATGATTTCGCCGCCATATTTAATTTTCGACAAAAGTACCTAAAAAATTGGGGCATTTGTTTCTTCTGGGTGCTTTATCTGATCAACTTAATATTTTGTATGTATGGCCGAAGGTTCTTACGAGGAAAATAAAATAAATTTGGTGGCCATCAGAGGCTTTTAATTGAAACATTGCCGTGTGATAACTGTCATAAAGGTGAAGAACAGGTCATACTTGTTTACAACTCTGGAAGGACAATTGGAATCTACCAGGTGTGCTTGTTTTACATAGCAAAGGATCTTTACGATCTACTTACTGAGTTGCCTAAGCGAGACAGCAGCTGGCAAGACTACATTCTGATTGGCTCATGTGTGTTATATTATTGGTAACACTGGAATTCAGGGTGCCCACATAGCTGAGGTGAAAGATAATGCTAATGAGTAGGCCTTTGTTTTAGCCAGTACAGTATAGTGCTGTTAGAAGCACACTTCGTTTTTGACTTTGAAGGAGCAACAAGTCAGGTTGCCCTGCTCAGTGGGCTAGAAGCAATTCTGCACCATAGCTCGTCCGGGCAGTTGCTGTATTGACATATTGGTGTATTGCACTCAAGTGCTCTCTGAGGCAGTTTTTTTGCTATTCGAGTGAAAGTAAGTTCAGTACTTCCAAAAAGCAGTAGTGTGTCAATTTGACACAGGCAGCGTGACTGAACACTGGATGTGGCCGGCGTGGTGGTGTGGTGGAACCGGCCTCTAGACCTCCCGTTGCTGAGTATGAAGTGTGTGGAAGAATTCTCGTCCATTAGACTGAGGACGTACAACTAACCAATCCGTGAACTAAAAGTCTGGATGCTTGACTCCCTGAATGAAAGAAGAATACAGCTCACGGACTATTCTGTATGGAACTCTGTGATTATATGCTCTGGGTCGTCGGGAATACGTCAATCTATATAGGAGGTTGACCTGCATTGAGACTGTTCTGCCGCGAATGTGATACACAGCTAAGTGACGTATCTGCATTGCATTAACAGTAACCACTAGTCATACAGAGTGAACATTGTGCTGCTGTACTTCAATAAGAACAACTGACATTGTATAACTTAAGAGTACTGCTGTATTTATTACTAGAACTGACATTGTATAAATCAATCCTACTGC